AAAAAATAATAGCAGTTGACTCTTACTGAGCATTTATTAAGTGCCAGGCAACACCTTTTCAATTATTATGAGTTTGGTATGATTATTGTCACCATTTTACAGTAAAGAAAGAAATGAGGGCACAAAGAGATTAAGGATCCCTTTCAAGTTTCCAAGGCTAGGCAATGGCAGAGTTGGGGTTCGCACCTGAGCAGCATAGCTCCTGAGCCCCTGCCCCTAACCCTATGCAATAATATCTCTAAACTATGGTGTTACCCAAGGTGTCTTATTGACACAGGGGTAGAAAAACAGCCACTGAAACATAATACTGAACCCAGAAAGTGACCTATGCATAAACGGAAACTTGGTATCAATCAATGACCAAAAAAATGAGGCATTCAATGATGTTGCTGAGATTGCTGGCTATCCATATGGAAAAAATAAAATAAAACTAAGTCCCTTTATGTTACATAAAAATAATCCCAGCTGGACTGATTGTGGAAAGAAAACCTTGAACTTTTTTAAGGAGAATATGGGAGGATAGCTTTAAGATTTTGAAGGTAGAGAAAGATTTCATATATATGACATAAAAGTCCCAATCCACGAAGTCATGGATTGGCATTTTTTACTGTATTAATATTTAATACTTCTATTCACGAAGCAACATGATAAACAACACGACCAGTCAAGAAACAGTTTGGAAAAGACATTTGTAATATGCGTTAACAAGAAAAGATTGCTATCTAGGATATCTAAAGAACTTTACACATAGATAGGAAAAAAACAACTCCCTGTTCCTCCGAAAGGGACAACAGATATGAATAGGCAATTTTCATAAAAGAAAACCTGTTTGGCCAACATACCTTTTGAAAGGCCCTCAATCTTTCCCATTGTCAGGGGAACACAAAATAAAACAATGAGATACCACTTCACACCAGTAGGTTGACAAAAATCAGAATTTGATTCCAAAAGTTGAATATAGAAGAAATTTCTCTCATCCACTACAACATTTTGTAAAATACTTTGGCAAACTCAAAGAAAATTGAAGAAATATACCTCGTTCAGCCTGTAACTTTATTTCTAGACATATATCTTAGAAGAAGAAACTCTCACACGTGTGACAAAGAAATATGTAGGAGAATGTTAATCGTGAGTAGCATTATTTGTAATAGGAAAGGACTGTAAACTGTCAATCAAAATGTTTACTGAGAGAAAAAAAGGATACTAAATTGTAGTATATTTATGCACGTGTATAGTGAAACACTACTGAGCTACGTACAAAAATATGGTTAAACATCAATAACATGATTGCTTAAAAGATTGGAGAATAATACTTTCAGGACTTATGTAATTTGTGTATTGTTTATATAAAATATAATATTTATGTTCAGCTGGAAAGCATGTAAAATCATACCGTATGGTTCTACATTGCTTAGGGATATGTACATAGTCATGGTACAAACACACATACTAGACTGGTAAACACAAATTCAGGTCACTGGTCACCTCCAGCGAAGGGTAGGAGCATGGAACCCGGGAAAGGGATGTGGGGGGCTGCAACTGTATTTGAGATGTTTTGTTTGTTAAAAATAACAATAACCTCAACAGATCACAAGGGCCTGTGGCCCCATCTGTGAATCAGAGCTGGGTGGTAGGAATTTGAATGTTCCATCTTTTATTTCATTTATACCTCTCTTTATATTTGAAATATTTGTTAATAAAATAAAAAGGAGCTATGTATAAATCAAGTGCTGATCACCAGAATCCTATTGTCCCAGGAGGTTGTGATTATATGATAATTTCAGAGGTAGCCTCTCTTCTCTCCTCTCCTGGCAGCTGACCAGCCTGCAAGTTGAACAATATGTATTAAGTGCCTGCCATTCGTCAGGCACAAAGCAAGGTTCTGGTGATCCAGCTGTGAGAGACCCAGCTCTGAAATATATATATATATTCCAGTGGGATTACAAGTGTACATCTGCAAGCCGTGATAAATGCCAGGACAAAAAGAGTAGGGAACTATGACTGAGAAACTGGGCAGGGGGCAGGCACACACTGTGGCAGGTTGGCTGCCTGGAAGTCATTCCCAGTCCCCCTCCTCCCTTGCCACCCTCTATTATAGAGGTTGGGAAGCTAATCATGAGTTTCCATGCTCCCTTGCATGTGGCATGATTCTAACCAGTTAGACATAGTTAGGACCCTTGGGGATCGTGGCCTTTCCTGAATGAACCCTCAAAGGAAGAGAGCCTTTCTACCTGCAGCACGGATGTGATGCCGGGGGTGGAACAGACATCTTGAGATGGTGAAGAATGGAAGCCATATGTTCTGAGGGGTGGAGCAGAGGGAGAGGCTCCCAGGCCCTTGACGACATGGCTGAGCCATAGTACCAGCCCTGGATTGTTTACTCTGAACTGCTTTTTACAAGATTATTAAGACCTACTGGCTTGAGCTGCTGTTAATAAGATTTCCTCTTAGTTGCAGTTAAAATCATTCCAAACAGAAATCTTCTAGCAGATGTGACTTTTAAGTTGAAACGAGTGTAGTGAGAGGGAGCAACCCCTGCAGAAAGCAGGGTGGGCAGGGGAGTGGGAGGATAAGCAAGGTCAGCGGGGAGGGGGCAGCATGTTCGAGGGTTGGCCTGTTTGAGAACCTCAGGGAAGCCTTCCGATGCTGGAGTTGGATAAAGGGACCAGTTTGCAGCTGGCTGGGGCTCTGAATACCTGACTTCCTTTCTCAGGCTCCAGGTTAATAACAGTGTAGTTGATCTACAAACAAAGATGGGCCCTATAGCACCCAGGGTAGTTGCTATGTTTCCAGACTCCTCTTTATAAAACAAAGAATTAAACCCTAATCCATCGACTTGGATCTTTGTGTTTGATTTTTCAAAAGTGAATTCTACCTAGTCCACCTTTAATCCTGAGATACAGCTTCCTCTACCCTCTCCTCTACCACAGAGGAAGGGGAAAAAGTCAGCATCTCATCAGTCCCCGTGACATAAAGTAAATTGCAATGATAGACGTTAAGCACAGCCTAGCCAACCGTGACTCAAGCACACCTTGTTACAAAGGTTTCTATTTTGTTCTGTACTTATCTGAATGGGAAGAGGCAACTTCATTGTTGAAAAGACTCTGACGTGAACAACACAACAAAAATCTAGTTGCTTTAATCCTGTCCTCACTGGGTTTAAGGAAAGGGTTGGCTGATTTTCTGTGCTTCCCATTGGTCTGTTTCCTGGATCCTGTATTTTATGGCAAAGGCTATTTTATAAGATAGTATTTACTGAGCACCTGGGTAGGCAGAGAGCTGGTTCAGGTAAGAAGCCCATGGCTTGAGAGAAAATGTCCATTTTCTTTTGTTGTTGTTGTTGCAAAAAGCTTGTTTCCATTTGGCCCGAGGCTTGGGAGAGGGCTCCAGGATGGTTAAAAAGCTGTCTCGTGACTGCAGAGAGGCTTCAGGCAGGAGCCCTGACACCAGAGGGGCTCCACAAAGGCCACTGGGTTGCAGAGGCTCCTAGTCGTGCTTGAGGGTGAGCCTTTGGGAGAGATAATCACCCAGCCCAGCCTGGGGACCAGAGAGCCTGCAGAGGTCAGTCAGGTGGTTGCCCATCTTCTTGATGAGTTTCACCTCCTCATCCAGGAAGTGGCTCTCCCGGAAGTCACAGAGGTGTGGGTCTGCGCAGGCAGAACCCAGGGCATGCAGATCCAAAAGGGCCTGGTTCAGGTTCTTCTCCAGGACAATAGCAGCTTTCATAGCATCCTGGGTTTTACCCCACTCATCTTGAGATGGCTTCTGGATGTCCTGGAAGAGGGCGCAGCCGCCGCGCTGGTTTTGCATTTTCAAGAGGCGCTCCGTGCCCTCGTGCTTCTCCTCAGCCAATTCGTGGGAAAACGTGGCCAATACTCTCCACAGCCATGTCGTCGTGGTCGAAATATAAGCCCAGAGAAAGGTAGGTGTAGGAGGCCCGCAGATGCATGTTGACCAGGTGGTTGACAGAGGCCTCAACCTCGCTGGAATAATTCTGATGAATCTGGGAGCTCATGGTTGATTGGTAATAAGGAGTTAAGCTCACAAAATGGTGTTGGCTGGTCTCAGAGGCTGAAGATAGCACAGTGGCTGGTTCTGAAGGATGTGACTGGAAAAAAGATTGAAGGGTGGTTGGAGGCTGGAGCAAGAGGCGTTCCTGGGTCTGTTCCATCTAAACACTGTTGAAGCAAGAGACAGGTCCGCGGGACCGCCAAATGCACTGTGAAAATGTCCATTTTCATCTGAAAAGTCTTAATTGGATGGGTATTCTGCAAGTTTCCACTTGGCTAGTTTAGAATAGACGTGGATATTTACTATTAGTTTCCGGGTGTGGGGGATCTCTCCCCGCTCTTTGCCCCCAGCTTTCTGCAGCTAAACTCTAGCTGTCTAACCCTCTTACTCTTTCATCCACATCCTTTCTGCAGGCTCCAGAATTCATTCAGTCTTGCTGCTATTCTCTGCCCCTCTTCCAAACAGCCTGAGCTTCCCCAGGAACGAGGTGGTGGGAACACAACGTGAGGTGCCAGGTGCTGCTCAGCTAGAACTGTCCACAGAGGAACTGTTGTTCCGCGCCCTTCTGCACAGGCAGCCTCAGCCCGGACTTCCCTTTCATCCTGCCAGACTGCCTGGCTGGCCTGAATTCAGTTTGCAGACCATCGTGCCCCCTGGGTCTGCTTTGGCATCACTGCACTCTAGTGTCTGCTTCCCAAACAGCTCTGTGTCTGGATTCTTTGCCCCCAGGTATATTCACTGCCTTGTCTTTTTCAAACGCTCACAAAGTTATCATTCCCAGCCTCCGTACCTCAAGTCTCAAAGGTCATTTGCATTTTATTTCTATTGCCTGAGCTGCTCAGGGTACTTGCCCAGTTGGAACCATTAGTGTATTCCAACAACAGGCAGCTTCTTCCCTTTTCCCAGCCAGGTCATGAATGAGAATGCTTAAATAAGAGTCAGACCTGCAGTTGTGCCAATGGCGTATCTTAACCCTCCTCCAGCAGAGACCCTGCCACCACCAGCAGCACCCAGAACCTTCTCAAGTTACAGGAGTTTTTCAGCCAAATTAAAAACAACATACTCAGCCTTGCAAACATTTACTGGGGATTATGCTAGGTGCTGTGAGAGATTCCAAATCATGGAAGACACAGTCATTGCCTTTCAAAAGGCTTCTAGCACCCTGAGCACAGACACACCTTGAAGACACCGTAGGTCCAGTTCTAGACCACTGCAGCCAAGCGACTGTGGCAATAAAGCGAGTCACACAGATTTTTTAGTTTCCCAGTGCATATAAGTTATGTTTACACTATGCTGTAGTTAATTAGGTGTGCAACAGCATTATGCCTAAAAAACAATGTACATACGGTAATTAAAAAATACTTTATGGCTAAAAAATGCTAAGCATCATCTAAGCCTGTAGTGAGCTGTAACCATTTTGCTGCTGGAGGGTCATTTTGTCGTTGATGGTTGCTGACTGATCAGGGTGATGGTTGCTGAAGGCTGGGGTGGTTGTGGCAATTTCTTAAGGTAAGACAACAATGAAGTTTGCTGTGTCGACTGATTCTTCCTTTCACAAATGATTTCTTTGTATATGCTGTCTGACAGCATTTTACCCACAGCAGAACTTTCAAAATTGGAGTCAGTTCTCTCAAACCCTGTCACTGCTCTATTAACCAAGTTTATGTACTATTCTAAATCCTTTGTTGTCATTTCAACATCGATTAAGTTCACCATCTTATATGAGTGTAGTGCATGGAACTTCCAAACAATTACTATAGTAACATTAAAGATCATTGACCACCATAACAAATATAATGATGAAAAATTTTGAAATATGGAGAGAATTACCAAAATGTGACATAAAGACATGAAGTGAGCAAATGGCTGTTGGAAAAATAGCGCTGATAATCTTGCTTGATGCAGAGTGGCTTTAAAACTTCAATTTGTAAAAAATGCAATAAAGCAAAGTGTAATAAAATGAGGTATGGCTGTATATACGATCTTCAATATTTAATAAGCATCTTAAATGTGCCAAACTCTACTAGGTGCTGAGTTTTCAAGTAGGAAAGTATAGTTTCAGTGAGTTTCATGGCAGCAGATAATGCCATATAATTACAATACAATAATAAAATAAATAGTAAAAATAATCATGAAATGTATGCCTGGGATGTCAATCATTCAGCCTCATTTTCCTCATCTGTAAACTGGCACCAATCTTCTACATTGTGCTTAGGGTTTGCCTGATATGAGGTATGGACAACATTAGGTACAATGCATGACACAAAGTCTTTAGAATGTCATTATTAATAACAATAGTTGCAAAGATAATAATAAAGTGGTTGTTATTTTTAACATTAGTATTACTATTATCTCCCACATTCAATCTGATTGATCAGGCTGTCTGCAACATTGATAAGATAATTCAGAAACTTAACTACATCAACTAGAAAAGAATACTGTGATGGATGCCAATACTAGGATGGGCTGGAGGAGGAGAAAGCTTTGCAAGTGTTAAGGACCCTTGACACACACAAACACCTGCACTACATTTGCAATGTAGTCCTCTCACTTAGGAATGCCACGGAGTGCATAGGACGTAACTGACTTTACATTTCGGGGGAACTGATGCCATGTTGTAGGGACTTGTGTTCCTCTGTGAGTTTCAGTCTTGTACTACTCTGAATCAGAAACCCCAGATGTGTTTTTAAACTTAGAGAATCTTAACAGGTCAGGTAAAGCTGGGTGTGGGTGAGTTCAGCTACCAAAATACGTCATTTCTGCCTAAGGCAGTGACAGAAACTCTAGGGCAGTGGTTTGCCCTCTTTCCATGACAAACCTCTCACTGATCGGTAGCAAAATGAGAATGATAAGGACAATGGAGAGAGGATTGTCCTTAATTTAAAGGACTGATACTGTGTTCTTTCTATTTTGTGGGTGTTAAAAAGTCATCCCTTTCATAGAAAGATGCTCTCAAGATTTCCCCTCCTGATTTGGGCCCCCAAATGTTCAAAGTAGCATAATACTTATTTCTGTGAAATCTTATCTAGTCCCATGGCCTTAAATACCATCGATATGCTGATAACTCCTAAATGTATATCTAGTAGCAAAACACTCCTTTAAGCTTCTGATTCGTATTTCTGCCTACCTTGGTTATCTCAGAGCACCTTAAACTCACAATCTCAGAAAGAGACCCTTGATTCTCCCTTCCTGCCTGGACCTGCTCTTCTCTTGGTCTTTCTGTCTCAGGAAATAGTATATTAAATGGCAAGTTGCTCAAACTAGGAATCTAACAATAGTCCTTGATGCCTCTCTCCCTTTTCCTCCACCCTCTTGTCTATCAATGCATCTCAGCAATTCCAGTTTCAAAACATTCCTCAAATCCAATGATTCGCCATCACCACAGCTGTCCCACTGTCATATCTATGCCACTGAAAGTTCGTCCCAAATGATCTCACTTCTTCCTTTCCTGTTTCCCTCCAATCCACTCGCCAATAGCAACCAGAGGAATCTTTTGAAAACTTAAATCCTGCTTTTAAAATCTTTAATTACTTTCTTTTACTCTTAGCATGAAGTTCAAATTCCTTACCATGGCCTACAAGGCCCTGCATAGCCTGAGATCTGTTACGTCCAAGCATCAGGTTTAAAGACGATGAATTCCCTGACCCCCTCTGTTCATATAAAGTTAACGTAATACATGCTGTCAGAGAACCATGCTTATTTCCTTAATAGCACCCTTCTCACTGTGAATTTTGTATCTCTTAGTGTAAGTGACTAACAACCATCTCCGCCTCCCCCAGCCTGTATGACACTTGAGGGCGTACTGTCTAGCTTTGTTTTTCATCACGTTCCCAGGGCATAGTCTAGTAGCTGCAGGCAGCATGTGCTCAACAAATGTCCACAAATGAATGGGAAGGAAGAAAAAATTTAAACATCTTTAGTTAATAAAATAAAAAAGTGACCACCCTTTGTAGG